TGATAGATGTCAATTTAAGGTGAGCCCTCTCAGCTGCCCTCCCCCCGTTCTGGAAATTGAACTCGAAATTTCAGAGAAACCCGTGCTCGAGAAATCGCTGTGATAATGGAGCTGTATGCCGCCCTACAGCGAACTATCGGAACTATACGTGCGAATGTAAACCGGGTTTCGAAGGGAAATTCTGCGAAATGGTAAGTGCAGGAGTTACCAGAAGAGTACGGTGACTTGCTTGCTGATTAGTAATTGTTAAGGACATTGATGAATGCAAGGAGGAACCGTGCCGTAATGGCGGGACATGCCACAACACCCATGGGCACTACAACTGTGTCTGTCCAGTAGGCTATGCTGGCACGGACTGCATAGAAAACATCGACGACTGCGCTAGAAGTAAGTCACTTCAATCTTTTTCAAATAAAGATTGATGACAGGCATGATTTGGAAGACGGGAGTTGTATCAGAGTAGGATTTTGAAGACTGTGGTATTCTGAAGGAATTTCTCCCTTGCCCAGACATGCTCTGGTGGCGGTTTTTTTTCAAACTTATTGTGTGAAGTTCAAGAAATAGTCTACGTTAGATCTTCCTCATTTCTCGCCACCCTGTGTAGTGCTAACTTTAATGGTTCCTGTCATAGGAAAAGTGTCTTTTCTCGGTCCCGTGTTATCTTGACACCGCCTTCAGTTGCTAAAATACCTCTCATTGAAATTAGCGATGCAATTAAATTGTAATTTGCAGGCCCATGCCTGAACAATGGTACTTGCATAGATGATCTGGCTAATTTTCACTGCGTCTGTCAGCCTGGATACACTGGACGAACCTGTGGTGTTGACATAGGTTAGTTTGATCTTGGCCAGTCGCGTAGCGTTCATTATGAGGGTTCAAGCGTTTCCTTACAGATGACTGTGCTGAGAACCCCTGCCTAAATGGCGCTACCTGTGTGGATGGAATTAATCGCTACGAGTGCTTGTGCAAGAGAGGATTCAGCGGGCGTGACTGCCATATCAACGATGACGACTGCAGACCTGGGTATGTTTTTGTATAATCAGGCAAATCCCACTATCGTCATGTTCCATGACAGTAATTTCTTAGTGATCGTAAACGACTCATGTCTGTTTTTATGTTTGGGTATTGTAAATATGCGGCGCCTCCGCCGAAGTAAACATTAATTGGCGTAAGTGATAAGAATGAGGTCGTGGGAACATGGCTCTCAACAAGTGGGTAACCCTCTTTGGCCGAAGCCGCTATCGAAGATGTGCCGTCTCGTGATAGAATGTTAACGTAACTTCTGTTTGCGACACTGGGAAAGCACCATACGGAAATTCATACCAATTTTAATTTGTGATTTTTCTCGTCGAATGCATCGCCCACAATTTCTTGGGCCACCTAGTGACTATCGTCTACTCTGGAAAACTGCTGGAGCAAGCGTAAGCGCTCATTTGACTGGCTTGCAGGAGTACAAAATGTTACCACTGAGGTGACGCGGCGGGCATAATTCTCAACACAATTTGGTTGCTCAACTCCAATAAGCAACATAAAGGATCAAAATTGATATTTTGAAACGGTGATCGTGCTCCATTCGTGGTTAGACCTGCTCGACCCTGACCAGACCTTTCAGGTTCTGAATTCCCATCCTATTTGTGGATTTTAAAGTCGTGCCCTGTACTAGACTTTTGGCAAGTGTTTCCACCTGCCACCCAGCTCCTACCATCGAAAACAATGTTTCCATTGCCCCCCACTCCGCACGTAGTAACGATAAATTACCGCACAACTACCATACGACTTCTATTTTCGATGGTTGGGTTTGGTAGTTACCCGGTAGCAACCTCCCTTCCCCTTCTCGACAGATCTTAAATTTGGGGAAAAGGAAGAGTTCTCGAAGAAAGTGGGAGGAAGTTGGGAAAATTGGGAACATGGTTGGTAGCATGGATGGGGGTTGTATTTTGCGGGAATTTTCTCCAGCGGCAGGAAGTTCCCCAATGGAAACCACTTTTGGGCAAGCAAATCCGGAGCATGAGGTAGTCAAAGATGTGGCATCCAGTGCAGATGGAATCTACACTAACAAATGTCGTAATAACAAAGCATTTTCATCCTTCATCTATCTGTAAACGACACGCCACGTAACCATATGCAAACCATGTTATTTGGGTGTTAAGTATCATAATTACCATTGTCTGCATGGAGGATAATTGGCTCAGTTAGAATAACTCAACTGAGGTCGATGAAATTAATTAGTTTCCAGGACAATGATTGATCCCTCGCATAGGAATAGCCTATAGAAAGAGTTATAGAAACTTCTACAGCGATGGGGCAACAAGTTCTTGGCATACATCACTCCGTTTGGGATACGCCAGACGTTGAGCACAAAAGTGCTATAAATGAAACCCTGGCCTAACTTACGCGTAGCTTACACAAGCTCACCTCTGTTTGCGTGTTTTAAAGTAGCTTTTTTCCTTACTTATGAGCTTGTCGATCGGGGGATCCTCTGACGATTCAAAATGTATTCATATGCATGGGTTTCAATTCACGAATCACGAACCGTAATCAGAAATCAGTCTTGTAATTCTTCCCGTCATCTACCTTTTCCCCTCCTTCCATACCGATTTATGAGAAACGGTCGCAGTTCGGCTTGGTGGGGGTATTTTGCTGGTTCCTATAGATCACTGCCGATGCCTCCTGTGGAGGCCTGTAAATTCCTGTGAAGCCATGCAATAGCATGAGCTTTTAACACTTGACTAGAGTCCACAGCTCATACCAATATGATGAGCTCGGCTCAGTTCCGGCGCAGTTCGGCTTGGTGGGGATCTGCAGGTTTTAGCAAAACGGGACCTGTTAGTTAAAATGAACCATAAATAAGAACTAGCAAAAGTGCAAAGTGTCCTCCCAAGCCGAACAGTACAAAAAACAATATATTATGAATTCCCTGGTTTCAGTCTGTGTCTAAATAATGGCAAATGCATCGACCTTGTGAACGATTACAAATGTGACTGTCCTTACGGCTACACTGGTCGCAATTGTCAAATTTTCGTCGATCTTGACAAATTCAACGATACTGATAGGTTAGTGGGTTTCAAAATTGTTTTCGGGCAGAATTCCAGCGTTATATTCCATTTTGTTGGTCCTGAGTTCTGAAAAGATGAAATTTAGGCAGGAACAAAAACGCTGCGAACTGTCCAACTGCGGCTCGAAAGGTGGTGACGGTGTATGCGACGCCGAGTGCAACTTATTTCGCTTGCGGCTTGA